ACAGCCGTATATATAACACTAGCTATGAAAAACATTTGCAGAGTGATCCAGGAGCTAACAAGGTGTACATAGTTGATTCCAAAGTCATCCTCTCGGAATGCGACGAATCCACACTGGACCCCCAAACTTTTCCCCAAGGACTAGGCTGAATACAAGAACAATCGTCAAATGATTACAAGAAGAAGTAGAAGACACAAGAATGAACAAAGAAGACTCAAGAAGATATAAGAAATTACAAAGAAGACTTGAGTAAGAAGATACAAGAAAGAAGACACCACCAGAAGAAAGACTGTCACCACCTAGAATGAAGAAGCACAGCCATGCCGCCCTGTCCCGACTCGACTCGTAGCCTAGCCAGTTATGGGGGTTGTTCCAGCATGCCCTGGCTCTTGGCTGCAATCCATCCTCCAAATTGACATAACATTTCAATATTAAATAAATTTCCTGACTGCCATACATAGTACATAATTACACTTATGGGGCAGTAACATTTACCTCCCCATTTATTCTCTTTGTTTTCTGTTAAGACACGCAGAATTTAGGGATGGAGTTTTATAGTTTAATTACTATACACAAGTTTTAAATGTGAGGAATATCTTTCAGTTTTATTAAACAATAGAGATTTTATACAAAACTTGAAAATATCCGGAGATATTTTACTATTTATTGAAAAATTTAAGAAGCAATAAAATGCTTATCTTCAAAAACTAAAACCGGTTAGGTTAGGTCATGGTTTTCTATTCGGCTTTTCAGGTAAACTCAAATATTCTCAATATATTGACAGTACGGTTTAATACTTAGTGAAAATAAGTAAAATTCTTGACCGCCATACATAGTACATAATTGCACTTATGGGGGCTGTTATATTTACCTCACCATATTTGGAGGACGGGCTGCTTTCTCTACAACTTTAGCATTTCCTCTCACTGACTTCTCTTCAGCTGTCCCCACTTCAAGTCTCGCCCTAATGGGTATCTTATCCTGTATATATTCGTATTCATAAACATAAGAAGCGAGCATGATTTCTGATTGGTCAGAAAGATATTGTAGTGGTCTTACACCAGGAAGCGTAACCTGCTTCTCAGTGTAGGTCGTTCTGATAGTTCACTTTTGTCCTGAACTATGTTCATGATGGAAGTACTCTTGATGGTTCATCAATAAGCTGTTGTGGTGGCTTTAATAGCTCTGACAGGTCTTAAGACGAACATCAATCGAACGAAAAGTTAGAACATAATCAGTTCTAAGTCAAGCATTGGTGAGAAAATATAACCTGACGGAGGTTACTATGCATACTTGTGAAGTGAGAGAATTTACACCTAATGATATGAAAAAACACATTTCCAGCATCACAATATTTTTAGGTTTTAATCTGGTTGAAGTTGAAACCACTCGAGCAGCAGTGATGAGCGCGCTGACTGTCCCTACCTGCAACTGGGAGACCAGTGTCTGCTGTTCGTTAACTTCCAGAATGACACCCGTGATGTCGCCCAGGCACTATGTCAAGGTTTTAGGGGGAACTTGGCCATTATCAAGACTGCCACGCAACTGAAAGCCATCATGGACTATCTATATACTGATGGTAGGTGAACTGTTTTAATCCTTCCTTCGTGGTCTCTACCTCTTGTAAGAAGTTTTCTTGACAAAATTTTCGTTTCTATTGAATGATAAAGAAAATACTGTAGAGTTCCAGAAATGTAAACCAGGAATTATAGGGGGTATATAGTTTATAGGTTTGTATAATTTATAGTTTGGTAGAGCCCTTAAATAGTAGATAATTTCTTTAGAATATCAGAATATAGACAACAATAATATTACGTTCAAACGATTTTGTGGTCATATTGTGAGTGTAGGTGCCTCTATAGAGAGTTTTACCCCATAGATCCCGACGAAATAATAATAATTCCAATGGAAAGCAAACAAAGCTATAAGAAACCATATAGAAAATACGTCGTAACATACAAATACAATTTTTTTCTAACTTTAGATTTATCAATTCCGTGTGGGGCCCATGGGGGAATTTATCAATTCCCCCATCCGAATCTAACCAAGAAGAAATTACATAATTATATCTGTATTATTCATATGAGGCTATAGTAAGCAAGTATGCAGAATATTCGATAATTACCAGTAATAATCTTACTTTATCTAATGTTCGGTAAAGAGTGCCGACCTCACAGCGGAGGTCGGGTCAGACCAGGACACTCCACACGAGTGTAGTCCGCATCACAATGGTCACTAAGCGACACCTTCAAATATCAGACCAAAAATCGTGATTTAATTTGTTTTGAAATTTGATTAGCTAAATTAGATAAAGTATATGGAATTTACCTCTCATGGTGTTCATGAGAGAACTCGACAAACACCTCCAAAGGATACTTAATCAGCCATGCTGGTATTCATATGTCAGGCTGCGAGCAGCTGTGTCCATCAGCCTGGTTGACAAACGACCAACCAGGAGGCCTAGTCAGAAACCGGGCCGCAGGGACATATATCCTCGGAATCACCACAATTAAGATACATGACAAATATTTTGTTAGAAATTAGAAACGATTTTTGCTTCTTGATTTTTAAATTAACCTAATTTGCTGCAGTTAAATACTCATAAAGTATTGAAAATGAATATCAAAATAAAAAATAAGTAAATATTTACAGATAAATTATCACAACAATAGTTAAATAAAGACTTAACAGAAACCCAAAATACTTTTCTAATATTCCTCAACGCTCAGAGTTCTATCATCTAATATTTTCACATTTTAATATTACACTTTCTAATATTACATTTATATGTTAATACTTCGATTCAGGATTTTTCAATTTATTAGAAGGCAGATAATATGAACGAGATCTTGGATGAAGTTATACCATGTAATAAATGAGAATATTGTTGAACAACCATAGTTGGCAGACAGGTTTAACACCTGTAGTGGGCGCCAACAAGTGTGTTGATGTCATAGCCTGTAAGCATGATCTCACATTAAGAGTCTTTCAAATAATTAATCCCAGAACCTACTCTCACCACATATTGCTACTCAATGTTTCCTTTTACATATTGGAGGAATGTGCGAGAAATTAGTAAGGAGTTTGATATGCTTTACTTATGTCCTATAAATAACAATATGATCTTCTGCAGGAGACATCTCAAACTCCTACTGGATTGATGGCATGTTGGACCTGGGCAGCTTCACCTATTCATCAGGGGAGTTAGTGCCCATGGGCACGCCGTTCTGGCGGGCATTGACGGCTCTTTCGAACCTACTGGTGTCCTGGTCTGACCCGACCTCCGCTGTGAGGTCGGCACTCTTTACCGAACATTAGATAAAGTAAGATTATTACTGGTAATTATCGAATATTCTGCATACTTGCTTACTATAGCCTCATATGAATAATACAGATATAATTATGTAATTTCTTCTTGGTTAGATTCGGATGGGGGAATTGATAAATTCCCCCATGGGCCCCACACGGAATTGATAAATCTAAAGTTAGAAAAAAATTGTATTTGTATGTTACGACGTATTTTCTATATGGTTTCTTATAGCTTTGTTTGCTTTCCATTGGAATTATTATTATTTCGTCGGGATCTATGGGGTAAAACTCTCTATAGAGGCACCTACACTCACAATATGACCACAAAATCGTTTGAACGTAATATTATTGTTGTCTATATTCTGATATTTTAAAGAAATTATCTACTATTTAAGGGCTCTACCAAACTATAAATTATACAAACCTATAAACTATATACCCCCTATAATTCCTGGTTTACATTTCTGGAACTCTACAGTATTTTCTTTATCATTCATAGAAACGAAAATTTTGTCAAGAAAACTTCTTACAAGAGGTAGAGACCACGAAGGAAGGATTAAAACAGTTCACCTACCATCAGTATATAGATAGTCCATGATGGCTTTCAGTTGCGTGGCAGTCTTGATAATGGCCAAGTTCCCCCTAAAACCTTGACATTGTTCTATACCATTTTGGGCATAACTACCTGAATGACATATCTTGTGATCGCCTCTTTTTCCCTCTATGTGAATTTCCTTTCTCGTCAGCAAATGAAGGTATGTGATGTCTCAAACAGTGTCCTCAGTATAATGTTACATATCTTGTCACTCAGCAGCATAGATAAAATGTTCTTACTCATGATATTTTTACCAAATTTTAAGATTGTCAGTAAAAATATATAATTTTACTTTAGTAAGCGAAAAAATGTTGCTACTTTCTAATCATTACGAGAGCAAAAATAATGTTGAAAAACGTGTTTGAAACTATAGCACCTTAGACATAACTGGAATCAAACGTAATTAAAGAAATACAACAATAAGTTAAGCAAATTCCTAAAATAATTTTTTTAAGACAATTTACAACTACAGCGTAAGCGACAAAATTAAAAATGTTCAAGCATTACATAATTCATGAAAGTGAGTGGTGAGGGAGCAAGCAAGGCGCTTCACTTAAGCCCCATTCCAGATTACCACACAGCCTGGTACGGCTGTGTGGTGCATGCATGCCGCTACAGCACTCGGTATGCTTTAGCGGCTTGCATGCACCACCATACAGCCGTGCGCCAGGCCTTGGGAACCTGGAATGGGGCTTAAGTGAAGTACTGGACTAAATGAGCCAATAGGACTTCATTAACTAAATTTAGTTCTTATAGTTCTAGTGTAATTGTCATTTCTTTAAATTTTTGAAGACTTTAAACAGATTCAGGTCTTGTAGTTCCAAGATTTTTGTTGGAATCTATAACGTGCCTACTTCTATAACCTATAGCATTCACTGATATTTACTTCAAAACAAGATTATACATATTTGAATAAAAATAGTCCCAGAAAAGATACCTTGGGTACACCACAGTGACAAAAACTTTACCTCCTTAAAATTATGTTTCCTTTACATTTTTCAACGATGTCCAAATTCAGTTCAGTATTGCCACAAATAACAAGCTTCATTGCATCAGTTTCATTCATATTTTGCTAATAACACAAGCATAACTGGAATACTATATTGTAATAATTCTCTTGCATGAAAGAGTCAGAGGAGGGGGTGCAGGAGGTGGCGTGTGAGGCACCGTTCACTGCCGTGGGAGACATGTGTCTCACCTTCCTCACCCAGGAACACATGTCCTGGGAGGAGGCTGTGGGCACCTGCACCCTGCTGGGGGGACACTTGGCCATGTTTGATGATATTGAGATGCTCAGAAGCATTTACTTACATATACACGACCAAGGTAAGCATTCAACAGCGTAAACAGTAATCTCCCTCTCTTAGATTTAATTTGGATGTCTAGCTTCTTATTCGATCTTTTTTTCCAAAAAATATGAAATAATTAATTAAAATAAATTCAAAGAAATGGTGAAATTAAAAAATACTATAAATACAAAATTTCAGGTGGTATAGGTTGCCATCCAACCTTAACAATTTTGTTAGCATTCCCAAAAATATGGAGATTACATAAAAATAATGTTGCAAAATTAGATGAAATTTGTGCCTTCAAATTTATTGAGAAATGCAAGAGGTTTACCAGAAAATAGACAAAATTTATAGTGGCCAAGCTCAAGGTATGACAATCTAAAGAAAAATTGTAACTACATCTCACAGTTCCCAAATATATATTAACAAAAATTTAATAAATGTTTCATTAAAGTTGTTGATCAAACCACACACTAGAAAGTGTAGGGACGTTGACGTTTCGGTCCGTCCTGGACCATTCTCGTGTCAATTTCATTAAAGTTCGTAAATTAAAAACATGTGATATGATAAGAAAATATTACACAAACTTGAGTTGCCATACTCTTTGTCCAAAAAGTTGCCATACTTTTGGTCTAAAAGATGATGAACTATTATCACGATGGACGTGATGAGCCCCAGCTGTGTTGATATATGGACTCCCTCCCTTCCCTCCCTCCCTCCCCCCACCCTCTCTTACACCAGTATGACCCTGTGCCACACTCCCTCCCTCCCTCACACCAGTATGACCCTGTGCCACACTCCCTCCCTCCCTCACACCAGTATGACCCTGTGCCACACTCTCTCCCTCCCTCACACCAGTATGACCCTGTGCCACACTCCCTCCCTCCCTCACACCAGTATGACCCTGTGCCACACTCCCTCCCTCCCTCACACCAGTATGACCCTGTGCCACACTCCCTCCCTCCCTCACACCAGTATGACCCTGTGCCACACTCCCTCCCTCCCTCACACCAGTATGACCCTGTGCCACACTCCCTCCCTCCCTCACACCAGTATGACCCTGTGCCACACTCCCTCCCTCCCTCACACCAGTTAGACCCCATGCCACACTCTCCTCCCTCCCTCCCTTACCACAATATTACTCTGCGCCACACTTCGTGTCACTAATATGACCTTGCTCCTTCTCTCCTCCGCCATCTCCAATTGTTCTGTCCACGTTGCTAATTGTTTAATCAATACAGTTATCCCATTTCCAGTTTAGTGAATAAGGGTTAAGCAGACATCTGTATTGATGCTCATAAACTGTTTCTTTATTCCAGCAATAGAGAGCAAATCATTCTGGCTGGCGGGCTCGGATATGATTACGGAAGGAACCTGGCTCTGGACCAATGGAAACTCCGTTCCTATGGGTATGTTGTCTCTGACATACTTAGGAAGGTTCTGCGCGGGGACACTTCACACTCTTATTTTTGTGATATACAAGATATACTCAAGCCGTGTCACAGTAAAAAGATGTAACAAATGAGTAAATGAGAGGCAAACGGAAAGAAACAAAATAAATAATGCGCAATGTAGGAAATAAATATATGATAAAGTGGGTTAAAGAGGCAAATGGGGTAATGTGGCGGAAATAGAGGAGGGAGAAGGAGATGAAGACTAGAGGGATTTATATCAAAGACAGTAACTCCTTGTGGCAATTATTAAAATGAAAAAGAGGGTGTGAAAAAAATATTTCAGAAAAAGAAATGGCCATAGTCAGCATAACTTACCTGAGTAAATGGCCAAAGTCAGCATAACTTACCTGAGTAAATGGCCATAGTCAGCATAACTTACCTGAGTAAATGGCCATAGTCAGCATGAAAACATACCTTCCTGAGGTCATCTTGAGATGACGTCGGGGCTTAGTGTCCCCGTGGCCCGATCCTCGACCAGGCCTCCTTTTTGTTCCCGCCCCCCCCCCCCCCAAGGAAGCAGCCCGTACCAGCTGTCTAACTCCCAGGTACTTATTTACTGCTAGGTAACAGAGTGAAAGAAACTTTTTGACCATTTGTCTCCGCCTCCACCGGGGATCGAACCCGTAACTTCAGGACTACGAATACAAAGCGCTATCCACTCAGCTGTCAGGGGCCCTCAGCTTACCGGAGTAAAAATAAAAAACTCCGAGCAGACATCAAGACTAACGTAGCAGAAACAAATAAAAATTACTCATTGTAAGGAGGTTTATAAACGAGAAGTAGTAAAGGAAACGCTGCAAACGATGCAAGAAAATGAACAGAAAAAAAAATGAGATTTAAAATGATATGACATAAAAAATTAGGTCAAGAACAAGAAAAAACATTTTCAGGAGTAGCCAGAGGGTCAGAGGCAGAGGTAGAAGTCAAAGGTAACAGTGATAGTTTGAACAAAGTAGGCAGTTGGCTGCAGCAAGCAAGAAATGGAAAGTAAATAATCAGGGATTATAAACAGCCTGATAGACCCCAAAGGAAGCAACGTGAGAGGAAAAGTAGGAGACGGAGAGGAGTTGAAAGGCATCCTTTCAGATGAACGGCGGGCTTGTGGTTAAGCCCACGTATCAAAATTTTGTTAGACGTCAAAAACCTTCTAAAGAAGTTATCCCAGTGACGTATATACTGGCACAGTAAAGAAGGTTGGGAGATGGGTAGATGTACCTGAATGTTTATTGACCAGAACATGAGTTAAGTGGAAGAAAACATTAAGAGGAACAAAACATAAAAGTCTAAAGAGGTATAAGAGACAGGAAGCAGCAAGTTGTGAGGCCAGGGCTGGAGGTGGAGGTGGAAGAGGACGAGAGAGGGAGGGAATTATCAGGAGAAAGCGCTAAGCCATTTTGATTATATAGCACTGGGAAGGGGTCAGGATAAGGATTTAGAATGGGACGGGGGAAGGAATGGTGCCCAGCCACTTGGACGGTCGGGGGATTGAACGCCGACCTGCATGAAGCGAGACTGTCGCTCCACCGTCCAGCCCAAGTGGTTGGAAAGGAGGTGGAAGAGGTGGTGGTATAAGTACAAAATAATATTGAGCTCAGTCAGGCGAGGAAAGAGACGAGAGAAATGAGATTGTGTAACTAAATCACAACTCATCCTTCCAAACATTACCTATTTTTACCTGAGGACCACCAATACTAGTGGCCTCGACGAAGTCAGGAAGCCGGCGGCTTGTCAAAGGTCCTCCCATTTTTCCTGATGACCTTTCCAGCTGTATTTTAAAACCCCGCAGAGTTTTGGCGGGTAGGCGAAAATGATAGTACTTATATTATCTATGGTGCTGCTTACCAACATACACTGTTGGATCCCCAGAAAGTTAATTTTATACTATTAATTTTGGAGAGGGCAAAAAAAATATGAACTCCAAACTTAAACATTCCTAGGCCTAGCTTATATATGTACAATAATATCTTCCCTGTGAGATAGCGAAGATTAGGCCTACGACTCCTTGGACACATTAGGTTAGATTTTTTGTTACATTATAATTTTTTTTAGAATGCCATTTGAGTTAATTCTGTATTACAAAACGTGTAGTTTTGCAATGCCCACCTCCCTCCCCGCTCAGCTCGTTGTTGCCGTGAGGGAGGCTTAGTGGGCGGCTTCCGGAGTGTGATGCTCTTTAGGACAGTCCTCTGTCCTTTTCTAGCCTTGTGCTCCTGCTGCCGTCCTCTCAAATTATTCTGAGCACCTTTTCCATTTCCTTCTGTTTCGTTTTTCTCCCCCCTCTTCTCCTATCTGCTTGCCGTTTCCTGCCGATCTTTTGCTTGTTCTGGCTCTTCCCTTGTACTTCTTCTATTTTGACGCCCGCGTGCTTGAGGAGGCATACTCTTGCACCCGTAGAACTGTAGTACCCGACGTCGAGAGCGAGGGGAACCTTTTTTTGTCAATCCTCCTTTCGTTACTGAACCCGATCTCGACGGACTGTCGGTTCTTAAGGTGGCGTTTCTGGGGCGTATACTCACGACGCACCCCTAGGAGGCCCCGGCAAGATCGGCGATAGCTTCCTGTTGGGTGTCCTGCCTCTAATTGTGGCTCCATGGTGGGTGTGGGGGTGCATTCGTGAACGAATATTCCTTTTCGTAATGATGATAACCCCTGTTTCGACTGTTTCTGCTTCACCTTCTCAGGCTCGTGGGGTGGGCGACCAAGCCCCCGAGTCAGTCCGTGTTAGAAGACCGGGCTCTGTAGCCTCCGCTGCATTGGGCCCCGACCTTGCTCCTCCTTTGGCCTCTCTGACTCCTTGCCTTGGCTCCCCTCCCTCCTCTGTGGTTGGGTCGAGCCCCAAGCCCCCAGTGGTGACTACCTCGTCCCCTGGCGCGGCTCCTTCTCTAGTTGTAACTACTGCGTCTTTTAACCCCTCTCTCTCTGGAGGTTCTCACCGCCGTCCTCGTCACGGCCGCCCTCGCTCGTTTCCTTCCAGTTCTGCTACCTATCAAGCCTTGTTTGGTCCCGCTTCGTGGGCCAAATATTTTGATCTCCTCCCTCTTGATTCTACGCCTCCTGACGATTTCTCCCTCCATCGACATCTCGTTGATTCCGTGGATGCCTCCATTACTTTCAACCCCACTCGTCTCGGTACACGTGTCGTTGCTGCTCCTTCTCAGGATGCTGCTTCCCGCTTGGCTGCCTTATCCTGCCTTGGCGAGACCCCTGTTCGGGTCTCGAAGAACGCTTGGTTGAATGCCAGTGTTGGGACTATTCTTCTCCAGCCCAATGTTGCGACCGGTGTTCGGGACCTGCGCGACTGCCACGACGATATTCGACATATCCTTGCTGCCCAAGGCCATTCTATTCTCCAGGTGGACACGTTTACTCGTCCCCCTCGTGGTAGTCGCCGTCAACCCCTCCGGGTTGTGAAGATTACCTTTGATGGTAGGACCCTTCCACCCTCTGTCATTCTTGCTGGTGCCAGGTGCTCTGTCCAGGAGTACATTACTTCTCCTCGGCTCTGCAACAAGTGCTGGAGGTTTGGACATGGTGCCCTCCGCTGCTCCGGGACTGTCTCTCTCTGTCCTTTGTGTGGTGGCGAAGGTCACTCTAAATCGAAGTGCACTTCTCCCCAGGCTCGTTGCCTCAACTGCGGTGAGGCCCATCCTACCTTCTCCCGTGCGTGTGTTCATTACAAGCTTGAGACAGCCGTCCTCAACTTGAAGCACCGGGAGCGTTTGTCTTTTCCTGAGGCGAGACGCCAGGTTCGCCGGCTCCCGCCTTATGCTAATATCTCTTATGCTCGCGTGTTGCGCTCTTCCTCTCCTCATCCTTCCCACCTTCCTCAGATTCACAACCGTTTCCGGGCCTTGGACCCTGATACGCCCACTGCCCCCTCCTCTGTTCCTTTGGGTTCTCTCCCGAAGGATCTACCTCCTGGTCCTCTGTCTGGGGTTCCCCTTCTTTCTACCCGGTCTGTCTTGTCTCCTGTGTCTTCTTCCTCGTCTCCCTCTGTTCCTCCTTCCCATCCTTCCCCTCCGTCTCTTGACTCTCCCCGCCGCCTGTCGGTGCGGGCTGATGTCCATCGCTCTCCAAACGGCCGTCATGTGTGCTCTCGTTCAGCTTCTCCTGTTGAGACTCTAGAATCCGTTGCCCAGTACGTGGTTGCTGGGACACCTGTCTCTTTAAGTCAGAAGTGTAAGCCTGGCTCCTCTCCTTCCTCCTCCCCGGCGGGTAAGAAGGTTTCACTTTCTTCTTCGGCCCCTTCTTCTGCCTCTCTCGCTCCTTTTCCTCCCATTTCGGTGGTTGCGCCCCTTGTTCCTGCTGTGGAGGTTTCTTTAGCCCCCGCTTCCCTCTCGGTTGCTGCCCTTGCTGAGGTGCGCTCCCCTCTTTCTACCCCCCCTCTTCCTGCTGCTGTCCTTGACTGCTCCCCTACGTTGTCTCCTCCTCTTCCTCCTCCGGACCCCGCCCGCCCACCTCTGGTCTGTTCTCCCGCCTCCTTCCCTCCGTCTTTGCTCAGTTTACCCATGCCCCCTAACCCTGACTTTGCTGACCCTGATCCCGACCCTGATATTCTTTAACGTGCTCTGTTGCTCTTTCACCTTTGTTTCTTCCTTGTTCTCTGTTTTTGTCCTTTCTCTTCTCGTCGATGTCTATTCTTCAATGGAACGTTCGAGGTTATTACGCCAATTTCCTCGAACTCCAGCTTCTGATTTCGCGGTTTTCGCCCCTTTGTGTCTATCTCCAGGAGCCGATGCTTAGTGCTCGTCCTGGTCGTTTTCGTGGCTATTCCTTTCTCTCCCCCCCCTTCCCCAGCCGTTGCTGGGGCTTCTAATTCTTCTGCTCTCTTGATCCGTGCTGATGTTCCCTTTGTTCCTTTATTTTTTCCTTTGCCTCTCCATTGTTCTGCTGCTCGTATCTTTGTGGGGAAATGGTACACAGTTTGTTCCATTTATCTCCCCCCGCTCCCCCCGAGTGTTACGCTTTCTCTTCCTGATTTGAAACACCTCCTGGACTCCTTGCCGGAGCCTGTGCTCCTGCTGGGTGACTTCAATTGTCGTCATTCTCTTTGGGGTGACGTTCTGACGAATACCCGGGGTCGCCTTCTTGAGCCGTTTCTCCTCTCTTCTTCCCTGTCTCTTCTGAATTCTATTGAGCCCACT